TTATTTGCAATATAATCAGATGGGTACCTACATTTTAAAGCTATTGAAATCCTATTATAAAACGACTTTTTGTCTTGTCAACGTCTATCTGCTTTTAAAAGTCATACCTAATAATTTTGTACGTTTATAACTAGCAATCAGTATATTCTCTTTCACAGTCTATCCACTTAAGTTTATCCAAGCTGTGATTTTTTGCTGTCTGAACTACTTGAGTATGTACTGTGTAACATTTTTGTATTTTTTTTCTTTCTTTTAACATACACCTCTTATAAATTTTCTAATTTATACCTTTATAGCATACATCTATTCTGTATTTTAAGGACACTTGAGTTTTCAAAATGTCATCATTATATTAATCAGTTATTATTATTTTTCGTTTTTATTTCCTAGTAAGTATACAACCCGCTTGTAATATATTTTCCTCTAAATGAACTTTTAAGTATCTTTTAACAATTACTTTTACTCCTTTTTTTCAATCGTAAATATTTAATAACATCCATTATTTACTTAAATTATCCGATTGGCGATAAGCTCAAATTATAAATTTAATAAAAAGATAAAAAACATTAATAATTCTTATTGTTTTTATAGTTATTATTGTAAGATTTTTGGAAATAATAATTGATTATAACTTATAAGTACCATATATTAAATCAAATCATACTTAAGAGTCACTTTACATATTTCTATTTATCTATAAGTGACATACATAGTTTAACTGTAAAAAAAAAAAAATCTTAATTTTTAATTGTAAAAACCATTTAGAGTAAAAATTGTTCATAAAAAAAATTATACCTAATAAATTCAATAAAATAGAAAATAAAAATAAATTAACTAAAAAAAATATTATGATTTTAACAAAGTATAAACCATAATAGACCATTTATTATTTATCAATAATACCTACTTAAAGTTATTGATAAATCTAAATGATATTTTTAATAATAATTGATGATTCACTGTATTTTTTCTGAAACATCAATAATCTAAAACCTTCCAAATTATTTCTTTAAAAAAAAAAAACATTCATACATCATTTTAAAATTAATACATTTCTTATTTTCTCTTATATAAAATAAAATCTGGAATATTAAAATAATTATTGATAAATGGATAATTTAACTTTATAAAAATGTCTATTAACTTCTTATTTTAGGTTATTGATTCCGATCGTATCGATATCGGATATCGTTTTATGTACCGATAACATTATGACAATTTTAACTTTGTTTAAAATTATAATGTAACAATGTGTAGTATTATTCATAAAAGTCTAGCAAACATCTATCTTCTTTTTACGTTAAGTATTTTATGTTTCTACAGTTATAGGCTATAGCCCTTATCTGGTATTAAAACTTTATCTATTTTTTTTTATTTTTTTTGAGCAAATTTTAACTTATAATAAAGACTGAGTTTAAAAATAATATTATTTTTATTTATTATTGTGTCCATTTATTTACGATAAAGTTTTTATTGTTGTAATGGGTAGAAAAACCCATGAGGAATATTGTATTACATTTTCAAATCTTATATACAAAAATAAAAATTTTTATGAATTTTCAACTACAAAATAATTTTCAAATTTTCAAGATTTAAACGAATTTAGCCAAAATTTTAACTTTAAATTCTAAAAAGAATATTGTAGTTAAACATTTTTTTTTTAATATTTATAAATGATAAATAATCAACTTACAAAAATTTTCATATTAAATTTTTAAGCAGGTTTACCCAATAATACATTTTTTATCAGTATTTATAGAAGAAATTATTTTGAAAATTATATTATACAATATAGAAGACACTAATATAAACATTTATTGGAAAAAATTTCAAGTACCTAAAGATATTATTTTTTAAGTTGCATCAAAACGTTAAAATCATAATTGTTTAAAATAAATTTTAAGTAAAAATTCAGATTTTCCCTTTTTTTTTTTTGTTTATTTTATTTTTAAAAATACTACGAATTTTTATATTTGACCTCTCTTAAGTAAAAAGTAAATTAAATTAGCCATTAGGTATTAGAAACTACGTTTAAAGTTAAAGATTGACATTTTACACTAACACAGACACAAATAAAAATACACTTTATTAAAAATCAATACATTCATTGCTTCGTTCTGAATCTAAAACACAATACAAATTTCGTTTTGTTCTCATCATAAATTTAGCTAAAGATATATCATATAGGTATTTTCTATATTAAATTAGTGCCCCTTGTCTTTTTTTCCTTTATTTCGAAAAAATGCAGATAGCTACAAAAAAAAAAAAAGAACATCATTAAGTATCTATATAAGCAATTCGTTTTGTTTCTTCGTGCAGTAAGTTAAGTACAAATACGTTTTAGATGCCTTGATTATTTTGTTTATATTATATATTTTTTAATGATTTTATGTACAATTAAATGTTTAGTTTATTTTTACTTTTAATCCGTAGAACCTATATTTTTATTTTCGTCAATTTTTATTTGATACTCAGTGCAATAATGTATAAACACATTTGGCTTAATAGTGAATAACTAATAAATTATGCTTAATTTGATAACTTAATTCAATAATAACAAATTATTTAATTATTATTATTTTTTTTTTTTAATATTCTTATTATACTATTTGCGATCTAACAGTATTTTTTTCAGTTGGTTTTATAGTTTTGTACATATTTAAATAATTCACAAATACACTTCATTAATTTTTAATTAAATGCTTTAAATTGATTTAATTTTTTAAATAATTGTCATATCTAGGTACTCGTATTAATGATCACGAAACTCACTATAATAATGATGAAACGCTAAATCGTCTAAATCGATGACGATGATTTTGCAAGGTTTATATATAGTTATAAAATCAAAAACATCATATTTTTTTCTTAAAACTCAATTTAATTAAAAACTTAATAGGTACATCGTGGTTTTTTCATTTTTTTATGATGGACTATCAGAGTAATTTTATTAAACATTTAAAATTTAAATACAATCAGTATACACACTGATAATTAATAAAATTAATAATTATCAATATTTTATAAGTATCTGGAACCTAATATATGCACGAAAGATTCACATATATGCTATGATGATATGTCGGTGTTATTAATAATTAAAATATATAATTTTAATAAGATAAAATTATTAAAAATTAAACTCACTACAATGCAGATACTATATTATAAAATCAAATACCTATGTAATTAGTTCATATATAATAATATGTGTGAATAAAAACTATATTAAATTTTATCTTTACCTTCGAATTATGATGATATATTATATTATAATATAGGTATAACCTACTCACCTAAATCTATGAATTAATACACGTGTTATGTATATAATTTTATTACATTCTCTTGAAATCCTTTAAGCCTGGCGTTTTACGTCCTTAAAAATGTAAAATATTCTTTTAATATTCTATAAAAAAAAAATGACTAAAATTATCGAGTTAAATTTATTTAATTAATTTGATTTACAAAAACAAAAACTTTATACTTAAATGATGTATACAATCATATGTAAAATAGTTATTAATTATTTCCTTCAGAAAAATATTTACAAAAATAAACATATTATTTTTTTGTTTTTAAAAATTCTCTAATACATGGAATATTCTCATTTCTCAAGCACCTAAAATATGCTCTTTATACAAAACTTATTTTTTTCTATGAATTCTATGTTTCATGAATTGTAAATATATCTTATTCCCATTGTAAATATTTCACAACCATATAAATCTGGCCTATAAGTATGACTGTATGAGCAATATGATTACACTGTCGTTATATTGACGTGTTTATACTTTAATAGACAAATACTCGTATATATTTTATCATATAATATCTATCTAATAGTGCTTACTACAGTGTATACATTATTAACGTTTCTTTTCTATAGTTTACTAATCTAACTGATTTTATGCATTTCATATTAAAATAAAAATTAGGTAATCACTAAATTTTTAGTTTTTATGTTTTAAAACGTAAGAAGAAATATAATACAAAGAAATTCGATCTCATTGCCTATACCTAGAACTAACCACGTTTATATACTATATATACACATAGTCACGAGTCACGACCACGATCAGTTCGACAATATACTAAACATTATACTATTTTAGCAAACTCATACGTCATATAGCTATCTGCAATGTTTGGAAAATGCATTGTTCATTATTTTACCTTTTATAGAATGGACGGACTGAATTTCTCTGAAGTTCACAATAACAATACGTTAAGAATATTAGATATACATATATACATGAGTAACATAACGTATTATCGTAGATATTATTATTATTATAAATACGAAAAATGTGCATATTTAAGTATAAAAATAGATAACTTAAATTTAAAAAAAAATATTAAATTTTGGTGAACGTTAGAGGAAAAAGAGAGCTCATATTACGATGTTATATTGTGTTGCAAGTATGTATAATTAATTATTCATTTTTTAAGTTCACTGAACAACTAATTCATGAAACAATTCGTACAACAACAGATTTAATGTTTGATGAATTACTTGAGTTACCTCAAAATACAAAGACTTAAGACACTCTACTTCTAAATTATTAGAGCAGAAGTCGAGATAGGTTTTACTGCAATTTATGGCGATTGACGACGATTGTAAAGCAAACAAATGTTTAAAGAATCGTACGAAATATATTTTTAACAGGAAACTGTGAATCTTCAATGACACATTATTCGACTACATAAACAATTCAACCACTAAGCACTAACGATATTTTATTTTAAATGCAATGGCTATACTGCTACACGGCATTAAATATTATTATAATAGGCAATGACGTCGGCGGCAGCGTGACGGCGGCGTAATATAATAATATAATACTACAGCTTAATAATCCGAAATCGGTTTTCGCGGGCGCGGTTTACAGGTCTCGCCAAAGACGTTGTAAAATTTCACGGTTTCGAGCCGCGCGGCTGTGACTCAATGCGGAAGGCCACGCCTGTTTTTGAAATTCCCGTTTTTCGTGCATGAGCATTCACTATCGCCTACCGCCTGCCACCCCGCGAACTCCGCTGCCGCACAACAGTACCTATCAAAATGGCGTTTTCGTGCTCGTCCTTCTTACCGTTCGTACGCCGTTGTCCCGTCGTCGTGACGGTAGCGTAAACGCAGTAAACACACACTATATATTGAATCCATACGGCGTCACTGCCGACCATTGTCGTTGTATCACGAACGCAACACTACAATAACGAACGCGAGCGCATCGCAGATAAAAGTGCCCTGCAACACGTACTTTACAATATATTAAGGAAGCCAACAAATTTTTACATAAAACGCCTCGTTCTCGTCTCATAACGTAAGCAAAACATATTGTATTATTATTGTTATTACTATTATTATTGTTGTTTTTAACGTTAGTATTTCGATTTCCATCATAAATCCGTCGACCAAAGGTTTTCTTTGTTCCTTTCGCCCACCGTTGTTATTGTTATTGTTGTATACCTCATACAATATCGTCTTATCACCCCCGACCTCTTGCGATAAGTGTGGACTCACCGAACGTTCCAACTGTCACATTCGACTTTTAATCGTCTTCGTTTACTTGTAGGTATTGTTTGTTTGAATTTTATATCTACAGTTTTTAGGTGACATTGTAAACTATGGTTTACTGTATCTCTGTTCCACACCCACTTGAAGAGTCAATAATATCTATTATTTTTTCAATCTTCAATGATTACTGGTCTCTAATTATACTTCTTGAATCCTTTCAAGCTCTACCAAGAAATCAATTTGGTCAAGATATATATTATTTTCATTGTGGGCATTGTTACTGTATCTTTTTTTTTAAATAATAATTTTAATATTGTTTGCAACCGGGTTAACAGCTTGTAACAAAATCTATATTTTTTGTGTTCAAGTGTTATTGACCCAGATTGTTGGCTCAAATTACTTGAAAATACTACTTTTTCACTCTTAGATTAAATATTTCAAATATTATTATACTACAATTATACACTTAATTGCCTTAATATGTTACTAGTTTACTATCAATATAGACATACAATATTAAATAATTTATATTATTTTATCATTAATTATCTAGATTTTTCTCCTTAATTTCAGAATTGTATTCTTAAATTCATATAAACATGAGGAATACAGGAAATCTTTTAAAATGGACCCAAAACTCCAACAACAAATCAGCTAAAGGAGGAGGAGGTAAGTTAATTGATTTATGATATTTGACATAAAGAAGTAATACACATATATTAATAACAATATTTTTTTAAGAAAATCGAAATTGGATTCATCCTCCTGAAGCTTTACAAAAAGGTCATATTGCATACATCGTTAAGGTATTATTATGGTGTAAAATGACATTGTTCTCTAGTAGTAAATTTACTGAGAAATTATGATTTACAGTTTCTGGGAAATGTCGATGTAGACCAACCAAAAGGTTTTAAAGTGATCAAAGAATCTATCCAAAAATTAAAATTTAATCAACAAGTCCGAAAAGCTGAAGGTTCTAAAGTACCAAAAGTTGAGCTTACAATAAGTGTTGAAGGCGTTGCGCTTCAAGATCCAAAAACAAAAGTAGAATTACTATTGTTATTGATTTTGGAGTTCATTAAGTATAAATGCCTATTGTTTTTTCTATAGGTAATAATGCATCAATATCCGTTACACAGAATTTCTTACTGTGCTGACGATAAGGTGGACAAACAATTTTTCAGTTTTATTGTAAAAGACTCAAATGAATCTGAACGACACACTTGTTTTGTATTTATGAGCGACAAGTTAGCTGAAGAGATTACTCTTAGCATTGGACAAGCTTTTGATCTTGCATACAAGTATGTTATTGTTTTAGCTCGAGAGCAAGAAAAATTACTTTCTTGGTCTCATTTATCTCCAGTTATTTGCTAAAAATGTTAACTTCAATTTAGAAGTTTTTATTTAGTAGCATTATTTATTCAGTTACCTAGAATGTTTGCTTTTTATCATGGAAACATATATTCAAACCATAAATCAGGTCTTTCTCGTCTCCTAGTTAGTAGACTGGTGTTGCATACTCTTAATCACCAACATACCTATGGTCTATGATAAATGTGTTATTATCTATATCAAGTTATAAAATTTAAAATTATTCTCAATTATTATATGACTGCGCATTAATATATGTTATTTTAATTTTGAAGAATAATATATCATTTAAAAATGTATGATGGATGAAATAAAAGTCTGCAACATTTTTGTGCGCAGTGTTAAATTTAATACTATACTCTCGCCTCAAACTAGAATACGCCAGTTCTGCACACTTATCCCCTTCCACTGGTCACTATCTATGCCATAATGTGGGAGATGTACGGCGCAAGACAGAAACCTGTCGCCACTTGGTGTATTCATCTTTATAACATAGTGTATTAGTCTAATGTTTTTTCGTATTTGTAATTTATTACAATCAAAATGTTAATGCTTATTTGGTAATCTAAAATGTTTAACTATAATGTTATTAAAAACTTAAGCATTTATCAAATTGCCATTTTAAAAGTTTTTTTGTTGAATTGTTATCTTTATGTATTTCCTTGTTAATTTATTTTAATTAGACATTAAACTTAATAGTAAATATCGCTCATTGTTATAAAATAGTCTAATGATTTAGGTATAAATAATTTATTTACTAGGATTTTTCTTTACACTTATTAAGTTTGTCATCTGTTAACATAATAGCGACTAACATTAGTATAAATGTAGTTGTTGCATGAGTTTATTTTTATAATTAACTATAGTGTGTAATAATTAATAACATTTAATTATCTGCACGGTTGAAAACATTCAAATGCCGAACTCTGTCTAGCCTACTGAAGTCGTGCCTTTTATAATTATTTAATTAGTAGAAAGAATAAAAGAAAAATACTTTATTCTAGTAGATTAGATATTACAGGGTGGTCAAATTCCATAAGACAAATTAACGTCATTTAAATTTAAAATAATAAATGGTTATTACCATTGTTGATTATTCTAAAAGGTGAAAATAATTGGTTATTGTAGAAACATATTATATATTGGATCATTTCTGTGAAAACTTGTGTTACCTATTGAAAATATTAAACAGTTTGTATTTTGCTTGTTAATAACTAAAAAAAAAATTTTCGGGCTATGCATATTGATCACCCTGTAAAGTAAAATAGTTGTTTTAAAGGAAAATAGTAATGTCGGATTGTTATTGTGGTAGGTGGCCCAGCAAGCCGACGAACAAGCCGACTTTCAGAGCTCGGCAGTTGGATGTTTCAAAACCTCTGCCGATCTATATGTCTGATGATTTGCCTGACCTGCACGAGTGTATGGAATTAAAACGCGCTGTCCCCCAAATGCCCAGTGGTATGGAAAAAGAAGAAGAATCTGAACATCATTTACAACGTGCCATGGTAGCTGGGAGTGTTATACCCACACCTGAAGTAGCTAGATTAGTAAATGATGATTTAAAATGGCATGATCAAACATACCCCCCAAACTGTCACCCTCCAAAACAACTCATACACATAACTCCATTCACAATGGAACAAGATGTTCCAGAATATGATTATGACTCTGAAGACTTAGATTGGCTAAATACAACTGGTAGATCAAATAGTATAACAGCTGATAAACTTGAAGAACTTGTTGATAAATGGGAAAAACATAGCACTTACAATATTATTGATTTATCTGATGCCAAGTCACTTACCAAAGATGACGAAGATACTGTATTATTGATTTATGATTATTGGTTGAGGAAAAGAGTACGTTTAGGTCACACTTTATCTCCTGCTGTACGCACTGAACCTATAGCAGGTGCTCCTCCTAATGATTCATATGTAGCATTTAGAAAAAGACGTGATAAAATACAAACTAGGAAAAATAGAAAAAATGATGAAGCATCATATGAAAAAATGTTAAGACTACGTAGAAACTTGGCTAGAGCATTTGATTTAGTTGCATCAATACAACATAGAGAAGGACTTAAAAAACAATTAGTTCAATTAACTCTTGATACATACCAAAAACGATATGAATTACGTGACTTTAATGGAAATATTTACAAGGATGTAGAATTAGTAAAAACTGTACGACATGCATTTACACCTATCTCAACTAATCATTATATGTCTGCTATGTGGAAACAAGGCGATATGAAAAAAAGTTCTACAAGTACAAAATACCAGGATTCCAAAAGAGAAAAAAGACATTATAGAAAAAGGAAACATAAGTCTTATGATGTGGAACATTTAAGTTCTGATGAAGAATTATATTCTCCTCCACATAAAGTTCAAAATGTTGATGATAGTGGTGGTAGTAAATGGTCTTTCCGCCGAAACAAGCATTGCTCTTACTTGGCCCCTATTAATTCTCCTGAACCTGTAGACCCTACGTTTGGTTTTCAACCAGTTTATATACAAAAAAATAGAAATCATAAATCTTTGGGTTTATGTAGGCCTCGGTATGGTAGAGGTGGAAGGATTGTTTTAGATCGTTATACAAATGATGATGACAGATGGGCATCTTTAGATTATAATATAATTGAACAAAAACAATATGAAATGGTGGAATTCAAACATTATTCAGATAATGAAATGTCAGATTACTTCAGCGATGCAGACATTGATTGTCCATTAATGGAAATTAATAGTGAAATACAGCGAGATAAAACTAGGATAGAATTAAATTGGGATAGTTTTAATCCGGAAATATTTCAAGGTGTTGCTGACATTTGTAAGATTGAATATGATGAAATTAATAAAGAAAAGAATGAACAAGGAGAGTCCATTTTGGAACGATGGGTTAATCAAAATCAGCCACACGCTATTGAACCTACTTTGTCATTGGGATCAGATTCTGAAGTTGTAGGATGTTCACAATTTAGAACAACTGATTTAAGTGAACCTAGACGATTAAGATCTACTAATTGTTTATCGTTAAAAAGGCTATTAAAATGTGACACCGATTCCCATTAAATTAAATTATATATTTAAGTCTTAGATCATAATATTTATTTTTTTTATAAAAATTGTTATTACTATTGTATAATAAAATATTACATATTATATTTCAATTAATAAATTGACTATAATATTTTATTTGTGATTACCTATTATTGAGAAATACTAAATCTACCAGTCTTTTATGATTAATTTAATGATACTTATTATATTAATTTATTATTATTTAAATAAACGTGATAAATACCTAAAAATTGGTTTATGTTCCTTTTTCTTAGACGTTTCTTAGATATGGAAATTCAACGTAAGGTTATGCTATTACAACAACGTGTTAAAGAGTTGGAAAATGAAAATAGTGTTTTGCGCCAAAGGCTATCTGATACTCTTAGTGGAAAGGTAATACAACAATATTCCTTGTAGAAACTTTTTAATTTAAACATTTTACTCATTTAGATTGATGTTGAGCAATACATGCGTCAAAATGGTATCAGTGATATGATGCAAGTAAATGTTAACAATGGTAATTCTTCCACCCTCATCAACCTGACTAATGGCAATAGTTCTCCTCAACCTGGTACGGCACCACCAGTACCTCCAAGAAGTGTTAATAACAATGGTGACCAAATTAAGTTAGTACTTTTTTACAGTTTCTATATACAGTCAAATTTGCTTATAGCAATCTTCAATGAACATAGAGAATCTGAATTATAAAAAGTAATTTGATTTTTTTTTTAAATTAATTTATTAAACACACTTTTTACTGTATTATTTTATTTAAAATAACATATTTTAACATTAAAGGTATTTATAACTTTTAATAAAAGTATACACATGCATAGTAAATATATGTTTACTATTTGTTTGAAAAATAAACTGTTATAATACTTTGTTTAAAATTTGAATTAGATTTTTTAACAAAATTAGAAATATTTTTTAATGCCATTGATACTTCTGGCGTATTTATTTCGCTGTTGAACAAAAGCATGCACCTAATCAATATAAAAATAAACTTCCAAAATAGATGGTACTTTAAATAAGTATTTCTTATACAAGTCACATTATCTGTTACAGATAAGATTAATAATTATTGCTTTGAATGAAATCAAATTTACTACTTGTGCATGTATTAAAAATTGCTATAAGCGATTATGAAAACCCATTTTCATTTCAAAATAATAACGCTATATCTAGATTATTGTTGTGACCGATATTGTTATATACGACTAAAAGGACTACACATTAGATATAAAACCAATTAAATACATTGCTTGGAATCATTTTACCCGGAATATTGTTATACACAGCATCGTAGTAAGCAAATTTGACTGTATATTATTTTTTATTCTAATGATAGTGTTTGTAATGTCCCCATTTTTTAATCTTACTATTATTTTTAGTGTACAGTAATTATATATTAAAACTTAGGGGTTCAATAAATTTAAAATATGAAATTTTCCAGTATTTACTATGAATTATTAATTTATATAAATAAAAATTGCCAACATAAACCGAACTAAGTGCCCACATTAGGCGTAATCCACTGTATAACTAAATTTTTGATAATAGTCTAATAGTCACAAATTACACTTAATATTTTGTTTTAAACACAATTTTTTATTTCTAGTAATTTTAGTTAATTTCACTAACAATCAAAAAGTGTAAAAAAATAGTGAGCTTAAAGCTTTATTAGATTTAAATTTTAAGTTTAATCAATTATTTTTTATGGAAAATTTTAATTTTTTAATATTATTGATAGTATTAAATTACTAAATTTTATCAGCTTTATAATGATTAAATTATAAGTTGAATAATACGATTATAACTGTATTTATACAAATTTGTGGTTGAATTTCTATTTTAGTTCTTCCCCTAATGAAACAAGACCATCTCCTAGTGTTGGTACACGACTTGAAGGCCTATTGTTAAATGAAATGGAAAACAATTTTGAACCGAGGACAAACAATAATAACGCTAACTCTCCTACATCGCCTCCATTATGTATGTATTACATATCTCTAGCCTAAAGCAGTAGCTTCTCTTTTTTTATCATTTTTTTTTTTTTTTTTTTTGTAGTGGCTCCTCCTCCAAAACCTGCTAGGGATACTGGACGTCGTTCTCAAAATTCTGATGACATATTTGGCTTAAGTCCATTTAAAGCAACACCAAGACCAGCTGGTCAACCAAGAACATCAGCTAGTGATCCATTCGGTATGGATGATTTTGGGCAAAGTGTACAAAATGGTATTGAAAATGATATTGGTTTATTAGACAAAAGAATTAAAGAAATGAAGGTTAGAATATAATTTCTGTAAAACATAATTTTTTTAGAATTTGAAAAAGTAACTTAAAATAATTAAAATAACTTTTGTTTCAGGATGGTTTCACTCGAGGTTTATCAATGAGCACTGAAGATTTTTCGTTAGAAAGTCTTGATCCATTAAAAAAATAAGTTTTATGGAACAAAAAAATAAAAATAAAAAAAACTATGAATTGATAAGTAAATTTCATTATTCTTTGAATCTCGTTGAGAAAACAAACACGCATGTGATAAAACCATATTATCTTATACATCATCAAAGAAATTACAAAGTATTATTATTTATTATGTTTTAGTTATTATTTGTTATATACATACCTATCCAAAAAAATGTCACTGATTTTTTTTATTTTTTATTATTATTTAGTATCAAAATAATTGTTATACAATTTTAATTAAAGCATTTAAATTTATTTAGGAAAATATTGTTATATTTTTTATGTTTATCACTATTTTTTTTTAATGGATCTGTTGACTTGTTAACAAAATAATAAATATGTTTATATAATGTTAATATTATACATATTTTTTTTAAGTTTATTATATAATAATCCTTTAAAATTTCTTTAACTTAATATTGTATTTATTTTTTAGACATTTAGATTAATGTAGTATATTGTTAAAAAGATTAGGTTGCTATTACATTTTGTTTGATATACAGTTACAATAATTGTTTTTTTTTTTCATGCCAACATTTATTTCATAATATTTTCATTCACATAAATGGGTTTTTTTGGTTTTTATTAAACATTAAATAATTTTGGTTAATAAATAATAATAATTTTTATTTCACAGTGTAAATCAACATTTTTATTACAAATATATTTTAGAAATAAATTGAAATAAAAAGTTAATATAGAATTTTATAAACATTCATGAAATATTTGATAAGTTAATTGTAACAAATAAACCAGTGGTCCATTAAATTTTATTGGACAATTAAATTGATCAATTTCTTATACAATCAGCGTGTAGAATATATATAAATCGTACAATTTATTAGCATATATTAAAATTAAATTTCAATATTTATGAAAACAATTATATAATGTTAGTGAATGTTTTTCAATTTTAATTTGAGGTGATTGAAAAATGTTAACATTGTATCTTCCGTGTTCATCACGGATGATAAAAATGTGTTATTTTTCTATGCTGTTTATATACACGATTATAAGAAAATAGTATAAAGTTGTTAGTTGTTCATGATGCTTTTTAGATGAATTATTGAAAACCAAAACTGTTCTAATATGTGATAGTGATCCTTAGCTCGCCTATTTTGCTCATCAAATAAACTGTACCTACAATTAAAAAGTCAATAGTTATGATTTATTATTATTATGCATTTATCTATAATTTTGATATTTTAATTTAATAATTGACTTCTAAGTTAGAAGTGATGTAGGATGTAGGTATGTTATTTTTAAGTTAAATACGTTTGACGTTTTTTCTGTTTTGTTTTCGATTTTTCTCCTAAATTCCATTTATGTTATACACGCAAGCGCTCACCGCCGTCGTTTTTTTTTTTTATAGTGCATTTATTTGAATCCCATTATGGGAAAATTATGAAAATTTGAAAATTATTACCTGTATTATTTGTAATTACCTACTCCGAAATTTTTGAAGTATCCATATATAACACGCAAGTCCGAAACAACCCTACCGTCGACGTGGTGTTTCTTTTTTTTTCTGAACTTAAAATAAATACAACTTTCATTTTAGATACTAATTTAGTCAATTCCTATTTCCTACTTTACTAATACCTAATTACCCATCATCAAATTTATCATTTTCCCAATAGCGATTCTCGCAGGCCCTTGGACTAATAATGTCACTTTTTTACTACTCGCATGCTGTTTTTTGTTGAACGTTTTAGTTTTCAGATTTCATAAACAATAATTTAATTAAGTAATTGTGTCATGCAACTTCGTAATGCCTTCAGACGTCGACGATGACACGATGTAGGTCTTCGCGCCTAATATTCATCGTATTCGGAAAATGCGATATTTACAGCGCCATCTGTCGTCTGTCGACTTGAACTATTCAACATGCGCCCCTCAATCCATGGAGAATCATCTTGGCTTACCGTTGGCTAGATAACGCTGTCGTATACAATTTTTATTTATTTGTTTGTTATTAGTAAAGTTACTACTTATTAGTGTTTTTACTTATTTGATATTATTTTGATTAACAGATTGCAAGAAAACTAACAAAGTTTGTGATGCGTTATGAACTTATGAATAAATGCTGTGTTTTCTCTTTTTCATTCAACCACCATCCGTTGTAAGGACAATAAGTTATAATTTAAATTATTTTCAAACAAATAAACTTTGATCTGTTCCTTAAATGTTGATTTACCATCATTTTTTTAATAGTTTTCATCATTAAAAATGTGTTATATAAATATTAGATGAAAATGTCTAGTTTATATGCTAAACATTTTTTGAATTACAACAAATAAAACAAATTAATTACGTTAAAAATCTCCTTAAAAATTCTCGTTTTTTTTTTTTTTAGTTTTTTATTGCACATTTTAACAATAATTATAATTGTTAATTGACAAAAATCAAAAGTCGACACACTCAGCATTCAATTTAAATCACGTATCTTTCAGAAAAGGTATTGAATATAAAAATTAGCCTATTATTTCTGGTTGAAAAATTGTTCATTAAAAAACATCATTGTCAACCGTTTAAATAGTAAAATATAAATTTAAAAAACGACTGTGAACACGTTCTTTTTCGCAACG